GTCTTTGTGCCTCGATTATTAGGGAAAATTACAACGGCGATCCGCTAGCACTTAAATTGTTTATTGATAAAATTAATTTAATTGAAGATTTTTCAGACAAAAATTAAGATACAACTTTTATATCATTTTTGAATTCAAAGCTCGAAGGCAAGGCACATGAAGCAACTCCAACCGAAGTCAATTCAGCTCGACAAATAAAAGATGCGTTGAGAAACAGAATAAAGCCAGACAACTCGAAAGTTGTAGCTGGGAAAATTGCATCGTTACACGTAATAAACAACAATTATACGGAATTTACTAAGCGTGTCGAGGAGCTTTCGGATGCATTAGAACCTTCTTTGATGATTGAAGGTATGACACAGGGTTCGGAAATTCTCACCCACATTCTCTCATGTTCGCGATCAAGAATATTCCACAATTATTTTTACATTCTTTTATCGCGAGTGAAAAATGCAAATAAATTTATCATCTTCCACATTCGGAATGCGATCGACAAAAAAATTTCCGCTGCTTTTCATTCGCGATCGAAAAAAGCAAAGAAATTTGCTCTCACTCGAATATGAGAAGTCCGAGCATTGCTGATGTCGGCCTCTCATAAATGGGAAAAGCGATGCAAATAATCCCTTCGCGATCACTCACAACAGCTTATCGCGAAAAATTTCAACGACGTTGTATGGGAGATATTTTTCGGGTTTTTTTTGGGTATGCATATGTACATATCGTCGCTCCCAATATCTCAAATTACCATGGAAGACTAGCACGTTTCACTATTCGCGTCGAAGACTAGCACATTTCATTATTCGTGTCGAAAAGTAGCATATTTCAGATTTTCGCGTGGAAGACTAGCACATTTCCCTATTCGCGTGGAAGAGTAGCACATTTCAGAATTTTGCATGGAAGAGTAGCACATTTCAGATTCTCGCGTAGAAAAGTAGCGAATTCATATAAACTGGTACTAGCAGCCGTACAAAAACCAAACATACATGTATGTTATAATAATTTCTCCCCGACTAAGTTGAGAGTTTAATGTGTATGGAGCTTTTCGGTATTTTATTACAAATAGAATAAACGTTTATTTTCCTCCTACTTGTTTTGACGCATATTCGCATCTTCCTCTAATTATAAATACGAGAAACATATCGTCCTCTTAGTATTAAAATAGCCTATAAATTTTTTGATGTTTTGAGAAAATGAATTTCAAACTTTTTGTCGAAAGTAGCTCTCACTCAAATCTCGTTATGTCTGTAAATATTTATTATTTTCGACGTTTTTTTTAAGACTGTATAAAAATGAGTCTATTTTGTTAACTGACCAATTTTTATTATTATAATCATCCTTTTAATGAACAAAAAAGAGGTGTAAACTGCAGATACATCAGATAGGCTATTTTATTTTTTAATGTTTTCTATCAAGTTTCTGATACGTTCTTTTATTTTGTATGGTATACACTATTTTATTCAAGAAATACACCAGAATAATAAGTAAATTTAATATGAATTTTTATTACTATAAAATTATGTTTTAATTACAGTCAGATCGTAAATTATTAGCATGGTCTTTATTTATTGTCGTCTTCGTCCTCTTCTTCGAATCTGTCTGGTTCATCTAAACAATCGCGATTATTCCCTCCTTGTAAATTCAAAAAAAATGTCTGTGAGCCGGGAGGAATTACATTTTTTTTGCATAAATCTTTGAGGTCCTTCAATTTTGTGTCAGAAATTGGTAGTTCTTTTTTATATTTGTGAGTTAATGTAAAATTTGTGACTCCTTTCTTTTTCATTCTCGAGCCATCTATATCAATCACTTTGAAGTCTTCGTTCCATTGTTCCTTGTATAACAATTGTCTCTTTTCACTTTTTATTACTTGGAGAACCTTGATTTTAAGCCAATTTACCGATTCATTGTTGACATTTTTCTTCAAGTTATGGCTCAATTTTGAGAACGCCGTTTTGAGATCAATAATATCACTGTATTTAAGCCTTTCTACAGCGTACGGATTTTTTCGTCTTGCCAGTCTAAGTATAGTTGGCCATTCTTCTGGTGAATATACACAAATATTTCTCTTAGCTCGTTCTATAGCCGAATGCATGGAATCTGCTACCATTTGTGTGTGTCCACTTTGAAGATATTTAATCGTTATTGAATTAAAATGCAATGAATGATTCATATGAAGCAATAATGTGGCAATTAATCTGTTTCTATTCTGTCCTCCACAGCAGTCTGAATACAGAATAACATCCGTTACTGATTCGGGTAAATTGTTCAGCATTTTTAATAAAGTGGTTCCAATTTCCTCTGACCCACGGTGACCATGGTTTTCATCCCACAGGAAACAATATCCAGCTCCACTAGCTAAATCGTAAAATGTGTTGTTGTATGTGGCGAACTTTCGACTGTAATACAAGGTGCTTACATTGCTACATGGTGTCAATAGCACTGATTGTAAGTCAAAAGTAAATACTTTTATATTGCTGTTATTTTTAGATAACTCCTTGTCAGCATCTTTGTGGAGTCTTGCCTGGGCTTTATTTGCTAAGTGTTCATCATATGATTTCTGTATTGAAGCCTTGTCCTCTGTATTTTTGAACATTTCGCATGTTGAGCATGTGTCCTTTTTTGGATGATGGAATGAATAATTGTAATTATTACAAAATATGTGGCGATACATATGTTCTTTAACTGAGAGGTCTGGGTGGCGTTCTTTAAATAAGTTATACATTTTTGTAATTGTTAGGTCTGAGCTCAGATAAAGGCGTTGGGACTTTGCTCGAGTATAGTGGCTTTCTACTGCTGGAAATGACTCTATGTGCTCTTTAATAAGAGTTGCTATCTCCGCGTCTACTTTTCTTTGCATTCCGTGTTTACCCCTCATGTCAACAAATTTTCTTTGATTCTTTTTTTTTGGCTAATACAGATATCGCGCAGTCTGACACGTGTAAAGTATTTAAAAAGAACTTTTTACAGACCTGTTTGTCATTTAGAAAGTATTTTAGAGTGTTCGACCGCCGTGATTCTCTCGTTAATGTCCTCTTGCACTTCTCCACTTTTATGTTATTACTAAGGAATAGACGTTGCTTGCAGTAATCGCCCAAACTCCAATAGTCTGCATTGATTTTCTTACGATCTTCTTCAGAGAAGTGTTCTGGACATTTGTGATGACAGCTGCAATCAGCGGGCTTCGGTAAACGTTCCTTAATTACTTTACCACTCTTTGTAACATAAGCCTTTCCTTGACTCCTGTCACTCTTTCTTTTGTTCTGCATCCAAAGCTGGCTCTTACGCTATTGAAGACAACAAATCCATAATTGTAGGAGACAT